TCCTTGGGTACCCCCAGCTGTGGTGGATTCAGGTGCTGGTGGAGACAGCAGCTCCAAACGCTGTGACAGTATGTGCACAGGGACAGAGCGAGGTGTCTTCCCCTTCTCCCTCCCTGGCAGGTGCAGCTTTGGCAGTGCCTGAGCCACACTTGGCAGCTCTGGTCTAGCGGCCAGACAAGCCGGTGGTTTAGCATAGCCCAGTGCTCGGTCTTGTTTGCAATGTGCAAGCCATGCCTGGTCTGGCCCCAGTGGCCAATGGAAGATACCTGAGGCAGAGAAGAGCTCCTTGCTGGCAGACTGGGTATGGATACTCTTTCAGCTGGTGGCCTCAGTCCCGGTGGGAGGGGAAGGAACACTGTGACAATGTCACATCTAGGACAAGGCTCCACTGGAGCTGCTCCATGCAGACATCATGGACTGTGAGCTGCTGCCTGGATTTTAACCTCCTGTCTCCAAACAGAGATGGGAGTAAATTTGGCTTTGATTCCCTGGCTGGGGCCTGCCCTGCTGACTGCTCCACAGGGCACAGTTAGGTCCCTGGGAAAAGAGAATGGGTCAGGGAGAGGAAGGTGGAGTAGTACAAGCCCTTGATAATCTGTAGACAAACTTAAAACTATCCTGTTAGAAGGTAAGATGTGTGTGATCTATAGAATCTGTCTTTGAAAGGAAGGAAGAGCCTGGCCCCAAAGCCACGCCTAGTGTGTCTCGGCAGCATGGCACTTGCATAGCAGCTTTCAGAACTGGCTCCTGGCAGGCTGTGACTTTCTCTGTCCCTTTCTCCAGGTTTGCCTCAGCCCTCAAGGGACCCTGCACAACTGCCCCAAGACATGAGCCCCTTGGATGAGAGCGAGGCAGGCAAACTGGAAGCCAAGCAGGTTGTCTTGATCGATAGCTCTTACCAGTGCCAGTTCTGCCCCAGCAAATTCAACACCTATTTCCAGCTCAAATCGCACATGACACAGCACAAGAACGAGCAGGTAGGGACAGAGAGTGTCCCATGTTGGTGGCAAGATTGGGATGGGCTTCACATAGGGCACCGGCTCCCGGGGTCTGAACTGAGCCTTTTACTCTGTAAAGCTGCCAGCGCTTCACATGCAGCTCAGCTCTCTGCATGTTTGGGTTGCAGCTGTGTGGCCTGGGTGGCTTTGAAAAGCTCTGCTGCCTCCACCCTGCTGAGTGAGAAGGCAGCCGAGCAGGTTTCAGTGGCTAGAGAAGAAGCAAAGTCCAAAGTTTTCAGTGTGGGTGGCAGCTCTCAGGTCGTGCAACAGTCACCGCTGGGGTGTTGTGGTCTCACCCACTTAAGTGGTTTCAGGTGCTCACACCAACACCCCTTTCTCCCACCTTGCTTTCTTAGGGAAGTGCTCTGACAGTCTGCATTTGCAGAGCGTTCAACTCCCAGCAGGTTCTGCTGTTGTCTTCACCTGGAGCTGTCAGCCACATTGTGATGCTTAGTTGCTCTGCACGCTTCTGTAAAGACCCTTCCTCTGAGGAAGGCAGCAGAGGAAGGGGATATTTTACCGCTGCGTTGTGTCCTGCTGCAGTGCAGTGCAGGGTTTCATTGTTGTGGCCTGACTGAGCGAGCACTAATATGGTTGTGGGAATGGTGAGGTGCTCTGGGAACCACAGTGCTGGCTGTGTTCATAACATCAGCTCAGCTGTTCTCCAGCACAGTGAGTCAAGGGGCAGTGGTGCCTTTCTGTAAATGACCCAGTGGCAATGAGTTCCAAAAAGGAAGGCTGTTCTGTCTGTTGGCAGAGAATCCTCCCTGTTTGTTTCCATGGTGTGCCACTCCAGTTGCTCTCCCTTCTTCTCCCAGGTGTACAAGTGTGTGGTGAAGACCTGTGCTCAGACCTTCCAGAAGCTGGAGTCCTTCCTTGAACACATCAAGAGCCACCAGGAGGAGCTGAGTTATCGCTGCCATCTCTGCAGCAAGGACTTCCCCTCCCTGTACGAGCTGGGCGTCCACCAGTACTCCCACAGCCTGCTGCCCCAGCACAGCCCCAAGAAGGACGTGGCCGTGTACAAGTACAGTAGCAATCGGTGCTCACAAGCCTTGTAGGAGTGAGTGGGTGCAGAGTGTGTTTGGCTGAGAGCGGTGGGGACATTAGAGGGGAAAGAGGGCTGCGTGTTCAGTGGCTGCATTTCTCTTGGACACCCCAGCGGCAAATGGGGGGCCCCTCCACTGGGCTGCTAGGGTGAAGCACTTTGAATGCAAGGAACCTTTCAGAAAGACAGTGAAAGGCTGGCATCAGTTACATGGGAAGATCCCATCACTGCAAGTCCTCTTACTACCAGTCAAGAGTGAGATGGGCACAGCTGAACCTGCACTGGGCTGGATCAGAGCCAGGGAAGCCCCTTCCCAGCCTGTTTTCTGTGATTCTCTAAACACTGGCAGCAGAGGGAGCATGGGTTGTAGAAGCTGTGCCCAGAAAAAATTAGTTATTTCTCCTGTCCCATTGATGTGAAGGGGTCTGTTACCTGGGAAAGCCTTTCTACTAGTGTGAAGGGAAAGGATGAGGAGTTCCACGAAGAGCTCTTCCGGAGCTTTTGAAATGCCTGTAGAGAAATAAAGGAAGAGTAGGAAGCTCAAAGGATACTGAAGTCACCTAGGAGCTCCATGGAATAAATATCTGCTCCTTCTTCCATAGACCATAATTTCCAGTTATCCTTGTGCTTTGGAGCTTCATCCTACAGCTTGCTAATGGGGATCTTTGAGATCAGAGCCCCGCTTATGTCTGAGGAGATTTTAGTCTGATCTAAGGAAAAGGGAGTTCACAGCAGATACATGGTGCGAGTGCCTGTTGATGGTGCAAGTCCCCATTGCCCATCATCAGTCAACTTTGGCAGGGGTCTGTGGCAGAAATGCTGCCAGGACGTGCGAGTTAGGTGGAGGGGTCCCAGGAGGTTTTGGAGAGGTGGCGGCATGAGCCGAAGCTTTGTTAGATGCCAGAGACACTACATGGGAGCGTGTTGCCTTGTGGCTGTGCCCCAGGTAACGCTGCTGTTGTGCTGTGACCCCACACTCAGCTCCTTCACTGGGAGCTGATGTCTTCATGGAAGGAGGTGTTTTAAGTAAGGTAAAGCCTTTACTTAAGGCTTGTCGCCATGAGGAAGCAATGTGGAACATGTGCTCAGGTCTGTGGGTGCTCCCATGGGTGTCCTGGAAGAGCACCAGCGATTTAAAGGCTTCACCAACCAGTTTCCCAGCATCTCCCCGTCGTGAAGGATGCTAAGCATGAGTGTGATCTGGCCATGTGGGTTGCTGAGGTTTCAGAGCACCTGGGTGTTGTTGTTATTGTCTGTATCACACTGACCCTACCAGAAATCAGCCTGGAAGGTGGTGGGTGAATGGGCTGGGCATCCCTGCCTGGGGTCTGCCCGCGTCGTGGGGTTTGCTGGTGGCAGCCTCATTCACAGGCTCTGTCCTTTCTCTCTGCATTCAGATGTGTGAAGTGTGTAAATAAGTACTCCACCCCGGAAGCCCTGGAGCACCATCTGCAGACAGCAACGCACAACTTTCCCTGCCCTCACTGCCAGAAGGTGGGTGGGTGACCGCTGCCTGAGCTGGTCCTGGACATGTAGCTAGGGCTCTTGAGGGGGACAGGAACCCTTTCCTCCCCTTCCTCTCCCTTCCTACCTCAGTACGGACTGGCAGGCTCACAAGGTGCTTTTCAGAGAGACAGAGGTGATTGCACCCCTGGCCTCCAGCTCTGGCCTCTCACACAGGGCACGTTCCTCCCTGCAGTGCTGGCTTTTCTCCTGGGTTCCGTTTGCTGAACAGAATTTGTCAGGGGAGCTCCCTTATTCCCATGACAGCACAGGACTGCATGCTCTGGGCTGCTGTCCTTATTTCTTAAAAGCAAGCATGCCAGGAGGAGTGAGGCTGGTTTTGGGAAGTCTTATAGTGGCGGCAGTGCCTTTGACCCGCTATCCCTGGCTACCTATGGCTGGAAGGTTGGGCATGAAAAGCCCTAGGTCCTGGGGGAGCTCCTGCACCTCCACTGCAATCCTCATCTGTTGCAACAGAAGTCTCTGGGTTCCCCCTCATTCCCCTCTTTTGGATGAGTGTTCTGTGTCCTTGGCAAAGAGAAACCTGTCTGAGTGATGTGACTGGGACCGGAACGATGCCTGGGTAGGTTTTGGCTGGAAATACTCTCTTCAGCACAGCCCCTGAGGGAGTTTGAGGGGCAGAATTTTGTGGGATTTTAAGTCTAATAAATTATTTTTTGAAATCCAGACTAAAATTTGGACCCTTGCTCCTCTGTTTATAGCAAAGGAAATGAAAATCCTGCAGTGGGGGCAGGGACAATCTCAAAGGAGTGACCACTCTGTACTGAGGTAGCTCAGGAAGGGGAAACACACTCCTGCCATGGTTAGTAACCTGTCTGTCTTTACCTGTCTTCTCCCCGCTTCCCCCACCAGGTGACAGATGCCCTTCTGAGCCTGTGTGAGACTTTCAGCATGCAGCATAGGTGTTGGAAAGCCCATTAACTGCAGCAGTATTTTTTACTTGTTTGTATTCTTGGTAATATTGCTGTTTTCTGGAGATGCGAGAGCAGAGTCCTGGCTACCAGAACTCCTGGCTCTCCTGTGCTCCCCTCGGACATGCGCTTGCAGCATCCTCATTAGGAATTCACTTAGCTTGGGGAATTTTCAGTATCCCCATTAGTCAAAGGAACTGTTCCTACTGGTTTGATAAAGGCCATGAATGAGAGCCTTTGGTAACAGATGATAGAGAAGCACAAACTCAAGTAAACACTGTGGGAAAGTAGTAACTATGGGGGGTCCTTGCCCAGCCCATCCTACTGGTCATTCTGGAGGGAGACAGGGCATCCACCTGGGGTGCTGGTCCTCAGCAGTATGGTGTTACAAAACTTAGCAGCAAGATTTCAGCTTATGTGTTTCTTAACAATAAGAAGGTAGTGGTTTTCTTTCTTTTTTTTTTAAAGCTCTATCTGTATTTTCCTTACATAAACTAAAGGTTTCCTCAGTGCGTCCTTTCCAGGGAAGCAGTCACTGTGAGCTTCTTATGCTTTCTATGCAGGCCACACCTCCCACGCCCGCACAGGCTCAGCGATGTCCCCTGTGTGCTGCTGGCTCTTACCTTGGTTTTATGTGTTAACAGGTGTTCCCCTGCGAGAGATACCTGCGCCGCCACATCCCCACCCATGGCGGGGGCAGCAAGTTCAAGTGCCAGATCTGCAAGAAGTTCTTTCGCCGGGAGCACTACCTCAAGCTGCACGCCCACATCCACTCGGGTACGGGCTCCCCCGGCACCACAGCGCTATCTCCCTATCACAGTCCTTGCTGCACACTGTAATGCCCTGTCTGTTTTCCTAATAACAGCATTGAGTGTACAAGAGTCATCTGTAGTAACATGGGTTCAAGAAATGTATGGTTTTGGTTCAGCCTCATGCCCAGCACTGCACATGTTGGAAGTGGGACACAGGGGTGGCTTCCTCACTGCCCATGGTTGCAGAAGCTAAGGAAGCTGGCCCTGGAGATCAGGAGCAGCGTGGATTGTATCCATCCATTTACCCATCAGGCAGGGAAGGGGAGCTTGGGAAAGTTTATAGAGAAGCAGGAGCAGCACTGCTGCCAGAGTGAATCCTGAATGTGACTAGAGCAGCCCCGTGTGACTGGACTCTCCCTGAATCTTGGTATCTCTCTTTTTTTTTTTTTTTTTAATCCAGGTGAAAAGCCCTTTAAATGCTCAGTGTGTGACGCGGCCTTCAATCGGAAAGACAAACTCAAGCGACATATGCTGATCCACGAGCCTTTTAAGAAATATAAATGTCCCTTCTCGTACGTAGCATGTCTCCAGCATGGAGGCATGTCTTAATGGGGTTGGGATGGGGTTTGGGAAGGAAGGAGTGTCTCTTGTGGGTATCCTAGGGTACATATGTGGCATCTGCCAATCCACTACTTCTTGGGAAGGCAGCAGTGCTGTCTGCTGTTGAACTGGGAACCCAGGAGTCCCAGTTGCCATCATGTGAGGCCACATAATTTTATAATAGTTCATCAAGCCTGTAAAATAATGCCTGCCTTTCTGGGAAGCTTGGGGGATTGCACCTGGGGAGCTCTGGGGAAGAGAAGGAATGTTATGTGAGCACGAAGTTGCCCGAAGGATGGTCTCTCCTCGACCGCCATGTCTCAAAAAGCACTTGGCAACATAGGAGCTAATGTACAAGCCAAAGAAACCCAGGTTTAGAAGGTACATCCCCAAATCCATGGCACGGCCGTGGGCCTTCTGCGATAACCAGGACTGACTGACTTCACCTTGTAGCTCCTTCTGAAATACTTCTGTCTGTAGGCGAGATCTTGAACCCGCTGGTGTTAGGAGCGTCCATGGTGAGGCACAGACCACGTGTAGTCTAACAGAAGCCATGTGTCCCTGTAGCAGGCTGTTTTATTTTTTGCCCCTCTCTGGAAGGGCTGAAATATTAGAGCTCCTACTGAGACTGCACCCAGGGACCCATCCGGGTGCTGCTAAGGAGAAGGGCTGTGGATCCAGGATCTGTTTATACATCGATCCTCAGCTGATTCGTGCTGCTCACCACCATTTGTTGTTGTTACAGAAGCCACACGGGCTGCAATAAAGAGTTCAACAGGCCTGACAAGCTGAAGGCTCACATACTGTCCCATTCGGGTAAGTGCAGCTCTGCCCTTGCTGCCAGTGGTTGGGAAGGAAGTGGCTGGGATTTGTGGGGACGCTGCAGGAGCACATTACGGAAGGCGTAAGCTTGAGAAACGAGATAGTAAATGGTGAAAGTGCTTGTGCTTTATACCCCCAGAAGCGCAGGATGTTCCTTACTGGTGCTTTCCACGGTGTTCCTCCACCCACCACTTAGTTACTGTGTAGTTTTCTGTTGGAGAATTTTCCAGCATGTGTATCCAGTGTTTCTTGGATACAGGCCTATGTTCTTAATATAATTTATTAGCTTTAGATTTTTTTAATCTCTGTTGCTGCAGGCCTGCTTAAGTGAGGTTGCGTTTTACAGCTGTGTCTAAGCTTTGGGCTGTTTTCTAAGGCAATATAAATCTGTAGGCAGGGCCTGCTGGCGAGACTCAGAAGCAGAGCTGGATTACTCGGTCCATTTGCTATCAAATTAATATCCAGAGTGCTCTGTCCACTCCTCCCCAATACCATTTCACATTCAAAAGGAGATCTCTCGGGATTTGATTGCCTTCTGTCTGTGTTCCAAAAATGATGCTCCCGCTCCTAATAAAGACAAATAATTAATTTCCATGCCCTAGGGAGTGGTCTGACTTTTGTCTCTTGGGGTAAAACTGTAAGTCTTTTCTTGTGCCCATCATGTCCAAAGCCCTGCAGAGCACGATCAGATGGGGCTGCGCTGACAGTGCAATGGATAATTTGTTTCAGACTGAACATTCCCATACTTGGGGAAGAAATAAAAGTGAAAATTTCTTTACTTGCCAAATACACTTGAAAAAAATCAGAGTTTAAGACTGCTTTGCATTTTCATCACAGTTCCCTGACATTTTTTCTAGTGATATTTTAATCCTCTTATTTGAGGCAAGGACTATTGTTTTAGCCCTTCCTAAACACAGACATTCAGGGCATAGCCACTCACCCTTTTCTGCCTGCAAATTTGCCTGGCACAATGGCTCCTCAAGCCATGGGGGTTTTGGTCTGTTTTAATTAGCAAGGTGAAAAAGAACAGGGCTTCCTGGGTGAGGAGGTGGCTGCTCCAAAGCTTTTATTGGGGAACATCTCCTTGGAAGAGGAGATGAAGCTGTCATGCTCTCCCTTGGTGCGGCGCAGGTTTTCTTGAAGATCTGCATTAGGATGCAGGGTCTCTTAACTGAGCTCTCTCTCCTCTGATGCTCTGTGCAGGGATGAAGATCCACAAGTGCCAGTACTGTAACAAGTCCTTCAGCCGACGAGCCCACATGATAGAGCATCAGCGCTCGCACACCGGTAACTACAAATACCGCTGCCCCACCTGCAGCAAAGGCTTCACCCGCCACAAGTACATGAAGGACCACAAGTGCCGGCTGGGCTCACCCAAGGACAAAGAGCTGCAGCTCAGGAAGCCCCAGAAGAAGCGAGTGGCGCGGGGGCGCAAGGTGGGCCTTGCCCTCCCCAACCAGCTGGGTCTGGCAGAGCTGAAGGATGGTGCTGCTGGGGAAAGCCCCCCCGAAGGTGGCCCTAACAAAGAACCGTTCCAGGAGTCGGACGCAGTCCTGTCCATTGTGGTTGGCAGGTCAGGAGCTGCTGACTCGGACCTTGTCGTTCCTGGGCAGCCCAACAGCATCACATCCAATTTGGCCCTGGCAGAACTGCAGACTGCCTCGGACGGCCCCTGCACCATGCTGGCTGTCCCTGTTTACATCCAGACGACGGAGTGATAACACATAGAGCCACTGTGTGGCTGAGGGCTGCTGCTGGGGCTGTTGGACTTGGTGCTGAAATTTATCCCAGTGAAAAAGACCAAAGCTCTTGTGGGGACGTAGGTGGATATGGGAGAGAATGGCTTTCATCTCCACTTCTTCTTCCCATCCTTGGGCAGAGGACTGCTTGGAAGCCACCGATGGCTACAAGGCACTGAAGAGAATGGCTCCGTTATTTCTTGTCCCTCTGTGTCACTGGTCAGCCTAGGGCAAGAAGGACTAAGATCCCTGAATCAGGGTAAGAAGAAGGAGCATGCAAACTTGCAACAAACAGAGCTGCTGAAATCAGGTGGCTTTGCAAATCACAGCGTGTCCCATCTGTGGTTTTTCTGGCCTAAAAGCTGTATTGCCCAGTATTTGGGTGGCCTTTCCGAGAGCAAACAATTGATCCTTCCTAGTGGAAGCAAGTTCATCCTGAGATCCTTTGGGAACACTCTTCAGAAATACCCTGATAGACTTACTCTGGTATCTTTCTCCTCTCTGTCTCTAGCAGTAGAAAGATCACCTCATCTGTACTACATGTGTTATAAACACCATGGACCTCACGTGCTGTGTGGAGTTGGTGGGCGGGAGCGTTCCTGCGTGTCGGCTCTTCTCTCTGGCTGGTATTCTCTCCACAGGATTTGTTCTTTTCATGGTTTTTCTCCATATCCAAGGATCTCCAAGTGCCTTAGACATCAATGAGTCAATCGTTACGACAGTTAAACATGACACCTTCTGTGTGCAGCTGCAGAGACTAAGGTGAAGTGTCCAGGGTCAGACAGGAAACCCGTGATGCATCCATGAGCCAGTTTTCTAGCACCAGCTCTGGACTAGGTGCTGCAGGGTACTTCTGTGCACTTCTCTGCCAGCTGCTTCCCAGCCTGCGCGTTCTCTTAGCTCAGTTCTATGGGCCAGTTTTTAGTAGTTTCAGTGGAGAGTTGGTGTGGTTAGGTAGCAAGAAAGTCTGGTGTGACTGGGACCATTTCTCTTGTCTGCTTGGCTTCTCCTCTCTGATTTCCCAAGTAGGAGTCCCAAAGCCAGCACAGGAGCACCAAACCCAGGAACTGAAAATTACCATTGTGCAATGCTGGTAAAGGAGGTTGCTCTGCTCTCCCATGGTTTCTTCCTGCTTCATGTGTAGGCCCGCCAAGCTGAGCTTTCCCTGGTAAATTTGTGTGATGAGCTGCTAAGCTGGCTGTAGATGCAAAATACTGCATTTCCGTCCTGTTTCTCCGGGGGTGGTGCAGAGCAGAGCATGGGTTCAGTCAGTCCTGGGTTCTGAAACTCTGGCTGTGGAGTCCCTGGCCTTGCCGCTGGGGAAGCAGTGGGTGTTTCTGGCTGCTGGAGCTGTCAGCCCAGCGTTACTGGTCTGACTGGCCTGACCCTGATGCCTGTCTGCAACCTGCCTGAGCTCCAGCCCATCGCTTTACCTCAAGGTGCTCTTCCTGTCTCCTTGCAGCGTATTTTGCTCAAACCTTAAAAAAAGCAGCTTGCAGGGACAGCATGCTGGTGCCGTGCCCATCGTGGTGGCATCTCCTCCTGGCAGCACGTGCTCTCAGGCTGCACCCTATCTAAAGACAGGTTACCCTGTCACCGGGTTCCTATCAGGATGGGTCCTGCCACCAGTTCACGTTGCTTGCTCGCTTTCCTGACTCACTTTTTGCCCATTTCACTTTTTTGCGATGCTTCTGTACCTCCTGCTGTTGTCGGGTGTTAGGGAATGGAGCACAGGGCTTGCAGAGGGAGACTGGGAGAAGGGGGGGTTGTTCAGGCTTTAGAAGAGGTTAAGGAGAGGTCTTGCTGCTGCCTACAGCTGCCTAACAGGCTGGGGTGGAGAAGGTGGAGCCAGACTCTTCAGAGGTGCACAGGGATGGGACGAGAGGCCACAGGGACACGTAGGAACATGGCAACTTCTGACTCAATGCAAAGAAAAGAAATTTCTGCCAAGAGGGTGGTTGAAGGAAAGAGGCTGCAGAGAGGCCACGAGATCTTGGTACCTGGTGATACTCCAAGTCTGACAGAGCATCCTGCTCTGAGGGGACGTGCGTGGGAGGAGGTGGCTGGGCCGGAGACCTCCAGATGGCCCTTCCTACTTAGGTGTTTCTGTGCTTCTGTGAAATGTCTTGTCTGCTTTGAAGGAGAGTTTATTTGCCCACAATGTTTGTTTTAAATACTTAGCTCTCACAGGAGGGGAACAGCACCAGGAAATAGTTTGCTAAATATACTTTTCCTATTTTCCTCCTCTGTGTCCGCACCATAGGTGTCATTATGTGGTCTCTGGCGCTTGCTGTGGTGCTGCAGTCGGGTCTATTTTGAGGGGATGATGTGTGGGTGCAGTGCTCCTCCAGCTCAGAGGCACCATCTGGAGGCCCGGTCCTTCTGTCCTGGCCCCTGCTTTCCACCAGCCCTGCGCATGGGCCAGCCGGTCTAAATGAGATGCTGGAAGCTGGCTTCCACTGCCTATGCCAAGTGCACTTCAAGGAGCGGAAGCAGAGCCACAAAAACAGCCTCTTGTGTGACTGTGGGACACAGGGGCTAAAAGATGCTGTGCTGTTTGCTTGATAGGTGTTTGCACATTGTGGTAGTGTTGAACAGAAATAAGTTTTATCAAGTTTTGTCTTGAGCATAATGATTGTCCTCTGGGAGTAAAGCTCAGGGTGATTATGTGTAAGACAACGTAACAGAGGTCCCTGATCAGAAGAGAGGCCAGGCTGGCTGGTTGTGCAGCTGGCTGGTTGTGCAGCCCTTGCCTGTGGGAGCTCTGCGGATGTGAGTCCTACGCCTGTCTGAGGGAAGTGCAGCCCCAGCGGGACTGGCAGGGGAAAAGTTGGGCGACAGCCTGCGAGTGTGGTGGCCCCTGTGCCTGCTTCCCAGCTGGGCTGGCTGCACAGGAGCAGCAGCAGGTCCTGGCAGCTCCTGCAGAGCTGGATAGGTGCTCCTGGAGCCTCACTGCCCTTTCTGTGCAAAGGAAAAAAAATGCAGTTACATAGAACTTCTGTACTTTGAGTGTGACCGAGCCCTGGCACAGGCTGCCCAGGAGGGCTGTGGAGTCTCCTTCTCTGGAGATATTCAAATCCTGCCTGGATGATGCCCTGGGTATCCTGCTCTGGGTGAGCCTGCTTGAGCAGGGGGGTTGGACTGGGTGATCTCTGGAGGGCCCTTCCAACCCCTGCCATGCTAGGATTCTGCGATTTCTGTGAAAACAACAACAAAAAAACCCCTCTCCTCTGTAGGCATGCTGCCTGCAGATTAAATTTTGCCATGGAAGGAAATGTCACGGGAAAGATAATTTAATTAGAAGACTAAATGCTATCATGAAGACATCGTGAGTTATGTGCAGTCCTCCGCACTATTCAGTACACAGGGGCTGCCTGTGCCAGGAAGGTGCCTCATCACAGCAGGCCATGAACTTCACAAACTCTTCTATTTCCTGCTGGCCAAAAGGGAAGAATCCTACCCAGAATTTTACCCCATTTCTGTTTCTCTAGCAGGGGCCTGGCCACTGCTCAGCTGCAGCATGGCCCAAGGCGGATCTAAGCTGCTCAGGGCACTGATTTTGTCCCAGCACCTTTCCACAGGACTGGTTCCATCCTGTGTCCTGGGTACCACTATTTTCTTTACAAAACCCCTATGGGAAGCATATTGGCATTTTCTGGAAGTTCCCTGGAGTACCCCAGGGCCCAGGGAGAACTGGAGCTGATACCGGATCAGAACAAAGGCCAGTGGTGCTCAGCCTCCACTTCTGACAGCAGGTGCTTATGGGAGAGTAAGAAAAGAGCAGGTGAAAGCTCTGCCTCCCCTTGTACTCTGCCAGTCTCCCATGTCACCAGCTGGGGGAGGGCTCTCCTGACCTGGGAGTGGTTTCTATAAGCCTCCGTGGATTTTTCCTGTGTATTTTTTTTCTCTTTCTGTATCTGCCATTACAGCGTTAACTAGGAAGAATGAGGCAGGATCCGTTATGCAGCTTTGTTGCTGAACTCCCGCCTTGGATGTAAGGAGGCTGTCTTTAATTATATTAGCTGCTGCAGTGCCTTTTCCCGCTTACCGAGGGCATGAAAAGGTGCTGTCCCCCAATAAGGAGTTGTTTGGTTCATTTTTTCCCCTTTGTCATTTGGTGCGTATATCCCAGCCTGCTTTACAGAGCGCTAACTAGTCCAACCCTGCTCAAAAGCAACGATGAATTTTCTTGGGTGGTTTCCAAGTCGACTATTGTCCCAGTCTGTTATTAACTAACTTGTTTTCACACCACCACTGTGAGTGGAGAGGGGGGTGTTGATTACTTTTTTAGATGATAGAGGCCAAGCACAAAGAAATGAAAGTGAAGTGCCATGTAAGTGCCTGAGGCACTTGAGACTTGATTTCTTCGTCGGACTTTGGAGTCTCTATGTAGGTACTGCGGTCGTATAGCAGAGAGTTACGTCCATGGTGCTTCCACAACTCGCAATGCGTGACCCGAGTCTCCAGGCGTTAAGGAGCTTACAGCTACTCACTGCCAATTAAGCAACCCTGACTCCAGATGTGAATACTCGATTTTGTGAAGTTGGCAAGTTGAGAAAGGAAAGTTTAGAAAAAAGAAACGTCACCAAGTGTTATCTCGACACCTCCACAGGCTGTGCCGAAGCGGTGGGGTTTGAGGGATGCATTACGGGCCTCCAGAGGAGGCGACTCCCCAGGACTCGCACCCAGGCCTGCTCGCGGCAGGGACAGGAGGCTCCGTTCCCGGCTCTGGGCCCACTCGCGGCAGGGACAGGAGGCTCCGTTCCCGGCTCG